AATATAATTTATTGAATATCGTCGACGTATAAATTTATTGAATAATTTTTAATGTCATTTATGTAGGAGGGCGGTCCAGTTGATTGACGATTACCTCCGTCGAGGGTATCACCGCCACCATGAGCATCACCTCTGTCGAGAGCATCCTCGTCGCCATTGGCATCACCTCCATCGAGGGCATCGCCGCCTCCATTAGCATTGCCACCGTCGAGGGTATCTCCTTCTCCCTCATCCAGACACATCCCCCGTGTATCTCTGGCACACAATGATGATTTGTATGCCCGTCTGACTGGATTTATAGTGGAAGAGGTCGGCGAGCTACGACGAGAGTTGACTGAGAGGGTCGATGATCTGGGACGAGAGTTGACAGGTCGACTATCTGATAGGGAGGGTCGACGATATGGGACGAGAGTTGATAGGAAGGGTTGACGATCTATCCCATGATATTGGAATGCTACGGTCTTGCGTTGTCGACCTTCAAGATACGTTTCAGAGTTAGCTGCATGATAGGTAACTGGACGGTCTCGGACGCTTACAAGTGGTTCCACGATATCACCACTTCGGGAGCTTGGCTTGCCGACGATGTAAGTGAACTATTCATTTCGTGTTTTTTATGTATACGTCACTTTGTGTTTATTAAATGAATAACTCATACTTTTTGGTGTTTCCTGATGCAGCACATCGATCTGGCGATGGACTTGCTGCGAGATTGAGCTCAAAGATACCCAAAATCATTTGACGTCCATAGCCGAGTCATATTAAACACTGAGTTTCTGCGTGCCGTTACCATAGAGTATCAGTCGCTCCAACTTATGGGTAATGAGTACATGGTGCCAGAATATATGCTCGAGTGGGTCATAGGAATGTCACCGAGTGTCGGGAGAAAATCATGGGAGGGTTGTACACATATGTACATTCCAACGTGCATCAATAATCACTATGTTACGCTGGAGATCGTTTTTGCTGACACAACTATATATGTGTACGATTCAGATCATTCATGTTTGACACAAGGCCGGCTAGAGCAAAACCTGGAGTCCGTAGCTGTATTGTTCCTATGATGGCCAGACGAGCGGGGATGACTGTACAGGACAGATTGCGGATTGTTTGGAACACGACGACAGCGCGACAGTCCATAAGGTAAGTGTTTGAATTTTGTTGTTTTCATCTTTCAGATTTAGTTTTTAGCTATACAGTACTGAACTGATCCATTCTTGTTCAATTGTAGCGGCGACTGCGGTATATTTGTCATTAAGTACGTTGAATTTTTAAGTATAGGACATAAGGTTGATTGAATCAACCAATCATGAATACAGAACTGGAGAAATAAGCTAGTTTGTGATTTGTTCGAATTTAATGGTGACCCGTAAATTTGTATTAAATATATGTAACATTCGAATTGTAAATTTAATTATTTTTTGTGATTATGAAATAATTGTAAATTTGTGTTCAATATATATAATATTCACATTAGAAATTTAATTATTTTTTTTAAAGTTGATTTTTTATTATTTTACACATATGCCGAGTATGAAAATATTTTTTCATATGAACATTAAACATTTATGAAGAACAAATATTGAACAGTGTAAAGTAAACAGAAATATTATTCATTTAACGTACCTGTCTAATTGTCATTTAGGGAAATTTGATTGGTATAAAATTGTCGAGTATGCCCTATGACTCTGTACCTGCCACACCTACGCGGTCAAGAAAACTCTCTGGTAGATGGTATTCTAGATATACTTGGACATTCAGGACCACGCGGTTCAACTGCTGGTGGCAACAAATCATGAAACGGGAGAATGTGCTTGGGAACTTCTTATTCGGCTTCATTCAGCAAAGGAAATATAGCCCCCTTTTGGCCCCCATTTTTGGTAATGAAAATGGGGGGAATAGTGTTTTGTTGAAAAAATGAGTGGTTGAAAAAGAATGAAATTTTTTTGATTTACGTGTAATATTATTTTATGGAAGATTGTGTGGTTGGAAATAGGAGAGAGAAAAATAGAATGTAATTTAATGGGGATCAAACAGGAGCATAGTCTCAGCATATGCTGTTTTCTAAGACTCAGTCGTATAATATAAAGAGTATAACGTTCTCGCTGCAAAGTCTCGATACATAGCCACCGCGACTGCATGCTCACATGGAAAACTCTCCAACTGAAATCTCGTATAAGTGCATGTGTTATCAGTCAAGTCCACCATAGATGCCGTATTACGTGCACATTGCACGGAGAAGCGGAACTCATCTAGTGCTTCCACATTCAACTTCCTCGCAACATTTGCTGTCTTAAAGAGTTTCTTCTCTTGAGTTGGGACCAACACGCTAGTGCAACTCTGTGATGCCGCACGTCGGTTATGAAACTACTGTTGTAGCTTTTTACGAATGTTCTCAATTATTATGAGAATTAGTAACTCTCGATCCTTCTTAAACAATGCATTGAGAGACTTTGTGTTATTCGATGTCATCATATTGTATCGACGTCCTGAAAAATATGACCGCGCCCAATGTTCGATCCCCATGTTCGTCAGATACTACAACGCCGGTAATGATTTACTTCCTATCTTGAACATGAACTTATTACACTCTTCAGCACTATAAGATTTGGCTGCTTTCCTGAACAATGAAACAATGCCTTTGCCCCGATACTTAGTCTTCAAATTACCTTGTATATGGTACATGCAATACCCATGATGTGCCTCAAAAAAAACTTCAGCGACACCGTTTTATTATAGACTGTCCTCGATCGGTTACAAACGCAAGGTCTTCAACTTTCCCGATCACTTCCCTCAGTTTAGAAAAGAACCAACGCATTGATAGATGTAGCAATAGGGTAAATTTGAACGTTAACGTCTTGACATGTAGATATAATTAATTTGCCTTGATATTTAGCTTTCAGAGTTGTCTATCAACTAGAATTACGGGTCGCATTGTATTTCGAAAACCCTGAATACATTGTCCGAGAGTCATGAAGAAATATTTAAAACAATTATCGCGCCCCGTCTAAATAAAAAATGTCGTGCCAGGATTAGTTGTCCCCATGTTATGGTAATACCTGGCCAATTTAGCATAACTCTCCTTAGCCGATCCCATTAAATCCTCCAACGCATATTCTTTGGCCTTCCAGACTTTCTGGTAGCTGATGACTACTCCATACTCTCAATGAACGTCGTTAATGATGTTTGAAGGTCTATAGATCATCCGTGGGTTCTGATACTTGTGTATTATCTGTCGACCAATAAACCATGCTCGAGCTTGCATGTGATCATTTCGACAAATTCTCACTTTGCAAGTATGTTCTCATGCATATTTGCAAACTACAAAGCACTCATTCGTGTCCATCTTAGTCACTCTCAAGCGCCAATTACAATTGTCGTCAACACAGGTAACTGTCAACAATGACTTGGTTGATTTCTTTACCTTGAACTCAAAGTTATATTTTAATGTCATCCGGTGAACAGCTTCCTGCAAATCTTTCTTGGTTTCAAATAGTTGCTCGACATACAAATCCTCATCATCGGGAGCCACACACGAAGAATTGGAGGACGGTCCACTTGTTCCACCCCTTGAGCTCCCACCCCGCTCAGGTCTCTGTCGGGATAAAGCAATTAAATTTTCATTTGTAAAATCATTTATATTTTCGTTGTCCTCAACTGTCGACGAAATTCTGTACGTAATAGTGACTTCACGATCAGTAGCAACTGTCTCGAGAATAACCACATCATCTGCAGGAACTATCTCCACTGTCTCCCAAAAATCTCGGTCATTATTATCCCCTACATCTGAATCTTCGCGTTTACCTTCGACAATATCCTTCTTAACTAAAGTCACGCCAAGAACAGTTGGAGTTTTATGCATTTTATTCAATTCTAACAAATAATTTAATTCAGTATCATTAGTAACAAATATAGGTGGTATCGGAATGGACGAATCCTCATAACCATTGAATAAATATCTCAATTGCATATCGTACTGAGAAAAATCAACATTCAGCTTATTTTGCAAATCCTGGTACACTTCCGCATATGATGTACTCTCTGTTACGGGAATTGCAATACAATCACATACATCACTCGTCGATCTACATTCCCATCTATTATTTTCATTCAATTCGAAATCATTGAAATAACAGACCGGGATTATCATATCTGCATAACGATATAGAATTTTTAAATCAATTACAATAACAAAAATTTAGATATTTAATCAACTTGTAATTAAAATTATAAGATAATTGCCAAAACAGAAATTAATAATAAAAAAATTTGTAAAACAGTCGGGAAAAAATCCGACTATGGACTGTTTTACAGCCGACTGTCAGTCGGTTGTATTGTGAGAAATAGCCGACTAACAGTCGGCTATTGGCTGTTAGACATCCGACTGTCAAAAGATTGTCTAACAGCCGACTGTCGGCTTTGTCGACTAACAGCTGTTAGACAGTCGGCTTTTTGCTGTCTAACAGTTTTCGTTAATATCCCACAGTTAATCGCTGGACTGTTTATTTTGCGTATGACTTTTTATTTTTCTATGATTTTAAAGAAAAAAATTATAGATCTGTTAAAATTTTTTTTACTAACTATTGTGTTATTTAACTACTCAAAAGTACACTAATTTACTGAAATCGAAATTAAGCATGAGTAAAAATATACTTACCGAATTGAAGTAATTGATCTGAAAAAAATTTCTGGCTTTGGCTTTTGAAATTTTTTGATATTTTGAGATTCAAACAGATGAAAAATGAGAATTTTTCTGTGTTCGAAACTCGTTCTGAAGTTTTATAAGTGAGGAAGTGTTTTGTTTTTAACTATTAATTAAAAGGGTAATAATGTCTTTTAAATTATTCAATATTTTGTAATTACATAATATATTTAAGGTCTTTTCTGTCTTTTACCATTTAAGAGATTACTATGATAATTTTTAACATTTTAAAAATCAAATTGAAAATAAGGATGTTTGAGTTGGTCAATTTTAAAAGTAACCATAAAACAATTAACTCAGTGAATGAGGTTAGCCCGAATAGAGAGGATAGACAGCGTATGGCAAAAGAGAGCATAACCTCTCCTAGTTTCAATTTTCCGGCGAACATTGAAATGCAATAGCGGGCAGCTATAGTGAATGGTCGATCTGTAAAATGCCAAAATACAGTAGTAGTCGGCACTAGTGATGAAATAATATCAAGGAAATACAGATTTGTGTTGAGAAATGGCAGCCCTGGCTTACCATATATTCTCTTCTTCAGCACTTTTATCCCTGGGGTTCTACCATCTCAGCTGCGTCACCAGAAACCATCTCAAGTCCCCACGGGATTACGTAGCTAAACCCTACCATCCTCTCCCTTTCTCTTCTTCGTCAAATCGTCTGCTCAAGTATCTCCAGCTCTATTTGATCATCCTCTGTCTTTTCATTGCCTTGGTCAACCAGCTCCTCGTCTCCTCCGACGCCGATCCCCTCTTAAAGGGTCGGACCCCTGTTCACCGCTTCACCTCCCTCCAGGACGCCGCCGTTATCTTCTGCTTTCTCATTCTCTCTATTGCCCTCCTCCTCTCCGATGCCACCTCCCTTCTCCCTCTTCCGCCAGATCTCTTCTTTGCCATTGCATCCGTTATCTTCCTCCTCCAGTATTCTGTCTCCTCCGCCTCAGCCGCAGTCCAGACCTCCGATCTCCAGGCCAAGTGCGACTCCGTGGCCGCCTGCATATTTGCCCTTTCCTCCGCTCTGTGTCTTGTTCTTGCCTTCCAGCCCAGGCTGTTCGTCTTTGATGCCGCCCTGGGGGCATCCCTTTGCCTGCAGGGACTGTGGGCCCTACAGACTGGCCTCTCCCTCTACGTTGACGCCTTCATTCCCGAGGGCTGCCACAAGCTTCTCGACGTCGGCAGCGGAGTAGAGGGCTCAACCAAGTGCGATTTGGAAGATTCCAAGCTTAGGGCGGTGGCGATTCTGGATCTGGTGTTTGTGCTCCACGTGCTCCTTGTGCTCCTCATCTTCATGGCGGTGTATGCTGCCGTTGCCAGGACCGTTGGCATCCACAACAGATTCGGTTCTTACGAAACCTTGCCCACTGCTGCTGCTGATTCTAGCCACATTCAAATGAAGGCCATGACCGGCACTCAGTCATAAACTTCTTTCTCCATTCGTTCTCCTTGTCAAGATTTAGGTATCTTTAATCTCTTTCACATTTTTCTATATCCTCAGCCTTAGTTATGTATTGCACAATTGCCCGCTCTTTCTTTTCCATGTTAATTGAAACCTTGTAATCTCATGTGACTTCAAGGAAGTGTTGTGTGTACAAAGAAACAGAGCATTTGTGATGACATCTAATTGTTGTAGTTATTTATATTTCATAGTAAAACTCTTTTGGAAGGAGACACTATACTGTTATATCACTACTTATATTCATGTTTGCAGTAGTCAGTCAGTTGCTAGTTGATGATGCACTGCTTCTATTATTAGCTCTACCCTCATCTTTTTCCATACTTCTCTTTCTGGTTTCTATTTTTGATATTTCTCTTAACACCATGAGAGTGATGTGACCTTGCTCCCGCTGCTTTAAGAATAAAGTTTGCTAAATCTTCACTACGCTGCAATCATTGGTGACTAACAGTCTACAGACTGACGAGTGAATATGGATGTTAGTGAATTCCATTGATTTTGGGAATTGAATTCATTTCCTCTAGTTTGTACTTATATTGTTCTGTATTTGTGCCTTACCTAAAATATATTAGCTACCGTAATATGATTGTTTTCTAACATAAACATGTCCAGCATATGAAATTCTTTTGCTTGAAACTACATAAAGACGTATGATTATGGAATTGGAACATAAATACCAACAATGAAGCCCTGTATTTTGTAACTAATATTATTTCAAAGTTTCAATAACTAAGGGAATTCGTGATTAGATGGCAAGATGGGAGAGTGGTATGTTGTAAGCATGTATTAACTAGAGTTTACTCTATGATATTCACTTTTTGTAAGTACATTTTCTTTTGGTATTATATAAGAGTATTTGAACAATATCACTTCGTTCCTATATTTTTCCCATCCCTTTTGTCCTTTTCCTCATCACTTTCCCTTTTTTGTTTTTCTCCCCTTTCCCGCAAGGGAATTGGTATACTTGGACTATCTTTTCGTTGCTTCCTGTGATATTCTTGTACTACAATTACAACAGTTGGTGCCTTGCAATTCAAATTTAGAAAGAGAAGAGAACACTTGTTAAAGGCTAAAATGTATATTTAATCAGATTGTTGAAATGGAAGTTGTGAAATCAAAAGAATGATAATATTGGTTGGTACCTGATAGTAGGAAATCCCTAAAAAACAGTGTTGGGTCATAATGGTCCCTAGAATGGGACAAAGTACTCCCTCAGTAATTGCCCAAATATTTATGAATATTTAGAAAATTCTGCAATTTATCATTGTTTTTCTAAATTATAAGACCTATGAAAAGGATCTTTTCCTGTGAAAAGTAGGGTAAGGTGAAGAATAAAGAAAACTAACTTATTCACTTCCCCTTGGAGAAAATACATCTTTTTCTCTACCCTGTTTCTTACAAGCAAGAGGAGGGATTCGGATGGAGAGAGAATGAGTGGAAGAGACGACTAATTGATATATGTGCAAGTCGAGTGACATCAACACCCTCTAATTATTATTAATTTGGCCTTTTGGTTCGTTAGCTTCTTCGCCTCTTATAGTTTGAAATATAAAGAAATATTGGGCTTTTTCTCCATTTCTCTTTGCTTCCGTCTTTTATTTCTATTAAACAAGGAAATCCTTTTACTACCTTTTCTACTTTCCATCAGTTTTCTCTCTAACCATAGGCTAAGGTTATGATTATAAGCTTTCTACTCGTACTTGTGTTTGTGTAATTTGATGTTTATTATTTTTTTGTTAGTGATGACCCTCACAGTGATCTAGTAGTACAACCCTCTTTTGGACTACTATTTGTTTGAGCACTGTTTAAGATTACGCGAGTTTTGATATAAGCAATAGAGAAGAAGGTTAATTCCTTCCCCCTTCTCTTCTTTCATTATATAGCAAAACGAGAGTACATATACATATGTAAACTAGGTAATTATGGAAATATAATAAACTCTAGTAATACTCTTGCCTAATTCACGTGATTTACTTCCTTAACACCCCCTTCAAGTTGGAGCATATATATTATATAGGTCCAACTTGGAACAAAGAAACTTCAATTGATTACTATTCAACGACTTTGTAAACACATCAGCAAACTGGTCTACTGTCTTCACAAATATATATATATATATATATATATCACTCACAATTTTGTCCCGGATAAAGTGATAATCAACTTTAATATGTTTAGTCCTCTTATGGAAGATTGGATTGGACACAATATGTAAAGCAGTTTGATTATCACAAAACATTGGAATAGGAGTGGAAATGTGAGAAATTGATTTCTCGAAGAAAGTGCTACAACAATGAACTCACTAGTCGTGTGAGCCATCGCCCTATGTTTTACTTTTGCACCTACCCTTGCTATTATGGTTTGTTTCTTACTTTTCCAAGAGACAAGATTACCATCTAGAAAAATACAGAGCTTGTTTGATATAGATTTTAAGCCAATTGAAATCAATTTTTTGACCGTTATTTCACTATTCCAGTCTTCGTTTTTGAATTATTCTCTCACAGGTAGAACCCACTTTATTTCTAACGGTCAAAAAATCAATTAACCAAATCTGTGCCAAGCAAGCACTAAAAAACCGGTAGTGGATTGTCTATATGATGGGGATCCCGTCCAATCTGCATTTGTAAACCCTAAACCCTTCTATTCTGATACGTCCATTTGGTTTATACAATAATCCAAGACCTAGAGCCCTTTTCAAGTACCGAATAATACGCATCATAGCTTCCCAATGAAGAATTCAGAGAGCATCTAGGAATTGACTAATGACACTGCATAAGAAATATCTGATCGTGTGATGGTAAGATTATTTAATTTTCCAACTAAACGATGATATTTTCTTAGTTCTTCACACAACTCTCCTTCATACTTGAAAAGCTTCACATTAGGATCTATACGAGTATCAATTGGACGAGTTCTAAGACAACCTGTTTCACCTAATAGATCAAGTACATATTTTCTTTAAGATAAATTGATACATGCTTGTGACCTCATGACTTCAATACCCAAGAAGTATCGAAGCTTGCCTAGATCTTTGGTTTGAAAGTGTTTTTGTAGAAACTGTTTCAACCGGCCAATTCCATCTGCATTATCATCAGTGATAACAATATCATCTATATAAACTACAAGGATAACATAACTCGTACTAGTTTGTAAATGAAATACTGAATGATCTGTCTGACATCTCTGAAGATCAAATTCTAAAACCTTAGAAAACTTTCCAAACCATGTCCTTGGTGACTGCTTTAGCCCATATAGAGCATTTTTCAACCTACAAACATAGTTTTTGTACTCCCACTGAGCAACAAATTGGGTGCATCATCTGGTAGAGTAGAGCGCTGAATATGAGAGAATGTCTCTGTAAGATTAGGGAGTTCTTTTTCACCTAGTATTTGTGCTTGGACTGCTTCAAACTCTAGTGGAAGTTCAATAAGAAATTTAACAACATCGATATCTTCATGTTGTTTTTCCATAACCTTCAAATCAGTAAAAAGAGGCTGATGCACATTTCTTTTCTGACACATAGCCAAAGCTTATTATAATATTAGACAAGGCTGAAGGAGCTCTTCTCAAGCTCAAAACATTGCTTACATGTGTCAAGATTCAAGTAACATTTTCAGTTCCACAATGTATATGTTTGAGATGTTTCCAAATTTGCTCAGCTGTAGATATATAGAGACATGAAGACCCGATATGAGACTCAATACTACTGACCATAAGTCCAATGATGGCATTATTCTCATGATCCCACTGATCATTGAGAGTAGAATTAACTTTTGCAGAATCACTTTTCGAAGATTTGGCAGATGGCATTTCCAAATCAAGTGGTTAAATAGACCTTTACCATGCAAAAAGACTTCGACACACCTAGCCCAGTAAATTTAATTTTTTTTTCATTCAACTTTTTAGGTGTCATGGGTCCAACCAGGTTGAACGTCTTCGTCTTAGATGACATGATACAAACTAGTCCAATAATAATTAATGAAAATCAACAACCAATAAGACGACCAAGGCCCACACACAAAATAACCAATCCTATAATATCACCCAGCTTAAATTCTTATGATCCAAACTAAAATTATCAAACTCCAGCCTAAATAAATAGGCCCACCTTGAAAGTTGGCCCAACAGTGCAACAATAATAATTGCAGCCCACGACCGACTGAAATTGGGCCCAATAATACCAACAACAATGATTGCTGACCGAAATTTCAGCCCATGATTAATTGTCGCGACATTCGTCGGCGTCTATTGTTGAATTTGATCAATTGGGGACTGCTACTACTCGTTGGACAACGGAAATCACGAAGACACCAAACGCCGGTGACAGAACTACCAACACTTGGCAATAGAACCACATGGGACACAGACGACACCAACAACTGCTAGCAATGGACCATACGGAGCACCGATTACACAAAAGTTGCGACCTTAATCAACTATTCCATTGCTCCCAACCATGAAGGGTGAGATTATTACATGGGTGAAGACAAAACAGGGAAGAAGTTGGAAAAAGATAAAAAAAAAAAATTGTCGGGAGGAGAAGTGGCGGTAGAAAGTTTCAATCCGTAGATACAAGGCTCTGATACCATGTTTAAGATTACGTGACAATTTTGGTATAAGCAATAGAGAAGAAGGTTAATTTCTTCCCCCTTCTCTTCTTTCGTTATATAGAAAAACGAGAGTATATATACATATAGAAACTAGGTAATTATGGAAATGCAATAAAATCTAGTAATACTCTTGCCTACTTTACGTGATTTACTTCCTTAACAAGCACCTTGTTCAACTAGCGGAAACTATGGACAGAATTTCAGACCTTTCACATAGCTGTATTTAGCCGATATGCAGATCGAACTGATTTCATGGATGAATTAAGATTACTTGGTTAAAGATGAAATTCACCAGATTACTTGGTTTAGATGAAATTCTTAAGTTCAGTGCTTGTGTTGGAGGGGATGGAGAAAAAATGTGGTTTGCTATAGAGAAAGCTCAAGGTTTTACCTTGAAGAATTATTAATTTCTATAGGTTCTAGTTTAATGACTCTCATGCAGCCTAGAAAATAATGAAAATTCATCATATTTCATTGTCTCTTTCCGTTTCCCCCCTTTTAGGTAGTTTAGGTATCTATTTAGCTATTTGTTTCCCCTCTTTTGGGTAGTTTAGGTATCTATTTAGCTATTTGTTTCCCCTCTTTTGGGTAGTTTAGGTATCTATTTAGCTATTGCCTCTAAGGCTTAGGCTTGGGCCTTTACATGGAAAATCCTGAGTATAATTTTGTTCTGCAACATGGAGCCAGGACAATGTGGTAAACTTATTTTGATTATTGAACACCTGACCACATTTCCTCAATGTCTAGAAATTCTTGGGTCTTGAGAAGTTTTGGCATATCTTTCTTAGAAGTCCAGCCTTTTATGTTGTGGTTTCAAAAGTTGATTCTGCCAAGACCGACCAATCGCATTAACCTTTGAAGTTGACAATTCCAAATAGTTCTGTGCTGTTGAAGGTTAAATGACTAATTATTTTGTCAAACCTGAGCTAATGATTTCCCCATTGACCGTTGAAGCACTTAATTGAACTAAAGAAGTGAATTGGTAGTGTACCGGGACAACTCCTCAAGTGTTGAAGCACTTGAGCCAACTTTTCTCCTCTCCCAGTAAGCTACTCCAACTCAAAGTAGATGAAAATGCTAAGCCTCCATTTGGCAAATTTATAAATGGTTTATAAAATGATGTGAAGTGAAAATATTGGATGAAAAAGTTGACAGTATTTTAAACTGGCAAAAGATTGAGTGACGTATGATATTATGTAATCCATTTTGTAAAGAGTGATGTGCATGTACCAAAGTCCTTTAGAAATATGTACACGATAATTACTAGTTATGAATGTGTGGTTGATGTTAATGCTTGATTTTGACTGAATTTGTAAAGTATTTATAAATTACTATCCCAATGCAGTCTAAAACAAGTTGTCATTGTTTTTGCCCATGCAGGTTCGACCTTTTGCGTTGTCATAAGTTGGCATGAAATTTCCTGTGAGTTATCAATTCTAGATCATGTGAAATTTGATGAATCTAGACTTGACTCCAAAACATATCATCGAGAATTGAATTTAAAGTTATGCTAATAATTTTTATTGAAATTGAATCTCATGCACCCTTCTACTTGCATTCAAACCCAAGATCCCCAGGAGGGTGTGCATCCCACCTCTACACAAGGAAGAGGGTTGATCAATTTCGATTTGGCAGGGAAGTTGTTAATGTGGTAACAACTGTTGCTGTGTTGCACGAATCATATTATTATAGTTGTGCAAGAGTGTAAGCTTCATCTATACAAGTTTTTCTTTAGAATAGTTATATTTCTTATTTGCCAATGCGACAAGTCTTTTCCAAAGACTGAATTTGTTGATATAAAGTTTAGTCTCCTCCAAATGCTCGAAGGACATTGTAATTTTTTTTAAAAATTTTTATCAGTAAATGTGAATTATATTGATCAAAACCATGTACAAAAGCTCCGGGCATTCCGGGGCAAAAATTTAAAAAAACCTCGAGACCTAAAGTAATGAACTCCTAACTAATCAAAACATTTGGATACAAGGAAAACATAACTTTGTATACATTTGATTTAGTCGTACGAGTAGTACAATCAACATTCGGTTTGAGATCTTCAAAAATCAACTTGTTCCTTGCCATCGAAATATGGTAGACAGTGGTCAGAAGTGCAATATATTTCACCTTGCTATGTCAAGTAGTGTTTCGGCTCTCCTTTTTAATCCATTTCAATGGGCTTTGAAGTGTAGATATAGATTGCTTGAGACCCACCAATGTACGTATATTATCTCAAATTGATTGGTTGAAAAAACATTCAAAAAACAAGTGTGCCAAAGACTCACCTTTAAGTGTACAAAAGTTGCATCGGTTGTCTATTTGCAAGAAATCCAATCTATCCTTCGTCAACAGCTTTGACCTGATTGCTAACCATGCAATAAATGCGTGTTTTTGTGTCACAAAAGCATTCCAAACAGTTTTGGTCCATATAACCTTCACTCTCTTCGGTCTGAAGCACTCATATGCACCTGAAATGCTGAAACTGTTCAAAATTGTCCATTCGGCCAGCTTGTTAGAAGTTGTCAAAGTACTCTTTTCGATCCTAGTAATGTAAACTTTATCGAATGGCTTCTTCCACATCTGTTTTGCCACGTGTATCATTTTGTTTCCTGCCTTCATCGTGTAATTAGAGAAATTGAACGGGAAATAGAAAAACATGAACATCAATTCTATTTTTTCGGCTGGACACTTTCATCCCATTCTTTCTTTGTAGTTGATTTTGGGATGTTGAACGTTATTATAAAGTTAAAAGTAATCAAACATTAAAGCTTCTTGTTTAAAAATATTGTCATCCAACGTGACATCATCATACAAATCGACTTGATAGTTGCCTTGTGAACTTGATATGACAAAATACTCTTGCTCATGCATTAGATGTGCCTTGTAAACTGGCAGTTTTCTTTCACCTGATAAACAATAAAAATATAGAAGATAAAAAATGGAATTTTCTGATTCTTCTATAAATTATAATTTATATGAAACAAAAGGAGTACTATTAACTCATTCTTCCACGAGAAAAATAAATCCAGACTGTGGAATACTGATGCATCTTTTTTGTCTTGTTTATACCGCACTATCTTGGACCGAAAAACATAAGATGGCTACGTAGCAAATGTCAAAAGTTCTACTTTTTGTTTTGTCGTTCAAAATAAAAGAAAAAAATAAATTGCCCGTTCTCAAGAGTCTGCGCAAAATTTATTCTTAAAAATAAACAAAGAAAGAGGAAAGAAAGAGGAAAGAGTTCGACTGACAAGACTCGGCGGCTTCATCCGATTTCCAATACTTATATACGAGTTCCAACATAACTGCAAATAGTTCTTCTTCTTCTTGATTTTGGGGATAATTGCATCTGAGTGTCACCATTCACTATTATTAGACGCTTGATTATTTGATTCGTCAATATTCTGGCCATTAGATTGTTTATCTAACAGAGGGCTCTTTGCTTTTCTCAACGCCGGCCTTTCACGGTATGGTTTTGTCACACAGTCACTTTTTTGTTTATTTATGTAATAGCTCTGGTTTCCGATTTAGGGAGTTTTATTCTGAAAATTCCATTTTATTGATTCCTTTCAACATATATAGACTTTCAGCGTTATTTTATCTTGATGATATGCCTTTGCTGGATTGCAATATGAATTTCATGCACCCACAATTGGATCGAGAGAAATTCCTTTTGTTTTAAAACCCAGATGCCGGAGCTTCTCATTTTCTCCTCTTTTCGTCATTATTATCGATTTATCATGTTGATTTTGTCTTATTCGTTTCAATCTAATTTAGAGCTGACTCATGACTATTTCATTCTTGCCCAACTGTATGACCTCTCAATAACGAGCGCCATTATCGTGGTCCCTTGAAATCGGCAGCCAACGGGTCTGGTTATTTTCTATGCAGAACATGTCAGATGATTATGTAAATGGTTTTTTTTTTCCTTATTTATTTGTGTAGTAATTCTTGAATCTAGGAAACATACCTTGCCTCTCCCCTAGCACGTTTCTTTGCTTTGATATATTTTCATTAGTATTAAATTGATCGGTGGTCTTCATCTTGCCATCCATCTACTTCCCCGATCCTCCTACGACTACCATTTTTGATGAACTAGTTCCAGGCTTGAAGCTGGTAAATGACACTGTCTTTGATACAGGATTTCATGTTTATGATAAGTGGACTGCACAGCATCAATTATGGATGCAGTTGAATAGAACCATCAATTTCCAATATAATTTGTCTTCAACACATCATTTATCTATGGGCGAGTGGATAGTTGGAGCCTTCATCAACTTCTTCGGCAGCATTGCCATCAATTTTGGGACAAACCTTCTTAAATTGGGTCATGACGAGGTACATTAGGCAACCAGTTTTATCTCAAAATGATTGCAGACAAGTGTCTTAGTTTCTTCTACTTTTTCTGAAAGATCTTTACATTGAAACCTTGTTGCTTTTGTGCATTGAAATTTTAACCTTTTTTTGCCATTATGTTACAGTGTAGTCTATCTATCTATATTTTATTGAGTAAATTATTAGCTGGTTATCGAGCTCAGCTCATTTAAAATTCATTTGTAAATATCATCTTACTCTGCTTGCAACCATCTGATTCTTGGTTCGAATACTGGAATCCTCACGAGCTTATAAATAAGTTTTAAAAATGTACTACTAATTGCTTTGCAGCATTATCTTGTTGGTTCTCCCTTCCTCCCTACTTTCAACATGTACACACATAAAACATCAAAAGAAAGAATAATGATCACCCCCTTTTGCATGTTGCAAATATTCACGGTTCTCTTTATTGCCTGCCTTTATGAGTGAATAATTTGCAGAGAGAGAGACATTCAATGCTTAGCAGTGATGAGACGAATGGGAAGACCATTATGAAGCCCATAATTTACTTCCAGGCTTGGAGAATTGGTAACTGCAGTTGCAGATTGCTTCTTTGCATTCAATAGTTGCAATAAAATCTTTAATCATACAGAAAATTGCAATGCTTTTGGATGCAGGCATTCTTTTTTTCATTATCGGAAATTGTCTTAACTTCATTTCCTTTGGATATGCTGCCCAGGTCAGTATGATGTAGATAAAGTGCTTTCCGGCATCAATAATTTTGGCAGATATTTGATCATCTATATGTTCATCCTTTTTCCTTTCTGTCTTTAATCGTCTAGTCACTTTCGTATCTCAATTGCTTTGTGCAGTCCCTTCTTGCAGCTCTAGGATCTATTCAATTTGTGTCAAACATCGCCTTTGCCTACTTCGTGTTAAATAAAACTGTGACTGTTAAGTATGTTCATCAGTTCGTGTCTAAATTCTTAAATTTTGTCATTTCTCCAGAATTCTGTTCGTTATGTTTTTCATGACTTTCTAGGCTACTAATATCATGGGCTTTCGGTCTTTTACAGGGTACTCGTGGCCACAGCCTTTATTGTTCTTGGAAACATCTTCCTTGTTGCTTTCGGAAACCACCAATCACCTGGTATGTCACAAGGTTTTGCGGTTTCACTTTCTCAGAGCACTGTTTGTGCCATACATTACTTTCTAAATGTTTTTTTTCAAAATAGCAATGCTCAAAATTTATTAAGAGGTAACCAAGTTATTGAGAGGAAACATGTTTGTGAGGATGGAGTTTTAGAAATTGGTTATATGATATTAAAGATTGCAAATTTTTCCTTTTCATACTATCCACCGTAAAATATGGACACTTGTACTTGAACCACTTTCTAGTTGTGGAAAATCTTTCACTTTAGCATCACATATGAACTGTTCAGCAACATCTTTGTCTTCATGGAGTGTATTATCTTCCACTCATAATTTTCAAATAGTTGCTATAGCCCGTGATAGAAGGGAATTACGCTACACAGCATGCTGTATTTTATGATGTTGATCTAACTTGGGTGCCTCGTGTCATTAATTGAGGTACCATATGATCATTGAAATCTTTATGCCTTGAAAAGCTCATAATGAACTTGTTGATTACCTAGAGAAAATTGCACACCCAATTGATCTGGAAAAGTGTCACTTATAACTGAATATTCCATTATAACAGTAGTTTAAGATTTTAATTCTTGAAGAGAAGCTTACCTCTTAAACTTCAAATAGCCTTTGAATTTACTCAAAGAAAAAGATTTTTTGTTAACTAATTATATATTTTTAATGGAAATAAAACAGATACCCTTTACCATTTAATCTATACCGCCCAACTGTTCCAAGTTCAACATAGAACCCTTGCTTGCCTTTTGGAACATTTTAAATCAGATCATTCATTTTCTCAAATTGTTTGATAGGACAAAAAAGATGTACTAGTGCTTTGTATAGTTATTTGCTAGTCTAGTATATTTTTAAAAGAACAAAGACTTTGAACTGAAAACTAAGTGCGTACTGGCTACCATATTCTACATAATGCCGAATGTCCAACCATGGAAATTTGTACAGGGAAGTGCCCCATGCTTCATCTGATGCTTCTTCCTTAGAAGTATCATGTCAGTACATGGGCTCATGCCCCCAACTTTTAGTTACCATTAATGTATATTGTACCTGTTTTAAATTAAAACTGTATGATTTTTGGGCAATTGATAAGTTTGTATATCCTTTCCTTCTTCACAGTTTACACTCCAGAGCAATTGGCAGAGAAGTATGGAAACACTACATTCCTGATTTATTGTTTAATTTTGGTTTTGATTGTTGGCTTGCATCACTCAGTATATAGGTGAGGTATAATTTTGGTAATGTTCCAAAGAATGGTAGCTGAGTGAATCATTTTACTAATCTCTCCATAAATTCTTTCTTGGCCCAATAACCAATCCGCTATATTTCCCCTCATTGCAATCACATCTTTAAATGCAGGAGAGGAGAATTGCTGTTCACTATCCCCGGAAATGACATTCAGCCTTACTGGCACATGCTTCTTCCACTTTCTTATGCTATTGTTTCAGGTGCTGTGGGATCATGTTCAGTATTGTTTGCAAAGTCTCTGTAAGTAGTCTGTATGGTTTTGTCGTCACTTTGTTGTAAATATGTATGGAGCACATTAGTTTATGATGCTCTTCCATTCTCACTCTTGCAGCTCAAACTTGCTAAGATTGTCCATTTCAAGTGCCTATCAGTTGCATAGCTGGTTCACTTACTCCATCCTTATATCATTTCTTAGTACAGCTGGATTTTGGGTAAAAATGAACACTTACATCTAATTCTTTGCCATCTAGTGGTGGGAGAAGTTTAAATTTTACAAGAGATATTGAATCATGTTAAATTCTGATATTGTTTGGCAACATGTCTGCAGATGGCAAGGTTGAATGAAGGACTATCGCTTTTTGATGCGATGCTCATTGTTCCTATGTTCCAGATTGCTTGGACATTTTTCTCCATTTGTACAGGATTTGTATATTTCCAGGAATATCAGGTGCTCCCTCATGCCACTCCCTTTCTTGAATTTCACACCTGGTTTTTTCAATTTCTAGTGACTCCATGCCATTGAATATTATCTGCTTTGCTGACCTATTGTTGCTGGTTGACAGTAGGTGTAGGGTGTTTATTTCTTATTCCTTCTAAGAGTAACAATTTGTGTTTTTGTTGATTGCTAAACCTTTAAGTTCAGTGTAACATAAGTTTTAGTTCTCAACTTAATATGGTAAACTTATTTCTCCAAATACTGTTCAACTTAGTCCTCCAGAGGTCAAAGGTTTATCCTCAACTATATGTCCCATTGGATGGATGGTATAATTTTAATTCTTTTACTTGTTCAGTTCATGCTTTGACAAGAAAATGTTGTGTGGTTTCTTAAAGAACCAATACTGATACAGTTGCCGCTCGAGAATGTCTTTTCTGTGGGTTGCTGTGAGTGGCACACACTTGGCATCCCTATTTCTCCGTTGATGTCTAAATGCAAAAGTTACTTCATTTTCTACTCACGATGTTACCAGTGATTTTTTGCTTTTTCGCCTCGAGTTGATAATAATACGCTGAACTATTTTGAATGCTATTCGTGCAGGTGTTTGACGCATTACGAACCACAATGTTCATACTAGGAATGATTTCAGTATTTATAGGCATTTCTTTATTGGCACCTGATGAATCAAAAGGTATGTTTGGAAAGAGTTCCTTTTGCATTCTTCTTGCGCATGGGGAAAATATGGGAACTAATTTGGAAAATCCTTTTAGGCTGGGAAATCAAGGATACAGCACCGGCTTCTATTCCTTCAAGTCTTCCTAATGACATGGACAGGTATGATACAACATATATTGGTTTAGGTGAAAAATTATTCACTAACAAAAATCTAAAATTATACAATTTGACTATGTAATCACATCTTTAATCTTATTTTAAGTTGTTAAAAGATAAATTGTTTTGTTAATAACAGCTTCCCCTAGTTCATAAAAAAGAAATAAAAAAATAACAGCTCCCCCTTTCCCTTAACTACGTGTCTTTATATCCTGGGAAATATAATTTTGTTCCACTTGATTGTCCCTCATCTGGACTTGGTGTGCAATAATACAGGCTGGTCACGCCTGCTGACGATTCACAAATTAAAGATATGAGATCACTTGCACGGGTGATGCAGATTAAGGCTGCAAACTTGATGGTCAAGGCAAAGGTGATGTTTGCTGACTCGCTAGTTTTATCTACCGAATTTTAACTTGGAAATATAAATTTTGGGAAATTTTGGTTTCTGTGCAGACTGCTTGTTCATTGTCACTTGGTTTGGGAGAAGATTCAATGCATGCATCTTCTGTTTTTGTGATGCCCATGGCTTCATCAAAAATAACGGGTTTTAGGGGAAGTAATCTCGATCGGACAAAGTTATTCTCCCTGAGAGGCCCAAGTTGGAGTATGGTTGCAGTAGAAGAGGATGATGATGAAATCTCTGAAAAGTAGTTTGATACGGCTTCTAAGCTCCCTTGGAGTCTCAATTAAAGTTGGGATTAGCGGGGGGGACAACATATTCCCACGGATGTCTTCTGAAAAATCTGTTCTCGACCACTATTATTCTATATATATAGAGATATTTCCACTTTTGCTTTTTAACATTCATTAGTATCTCTTGTTATTCTACAACTTGTTTGGTTTACTGGAATAGCGAATGGTGTATTTAGTCTGGTTCTGTTGTATATGGTATAAATCAATTAATTGTAACACCTTGAAAATTTTTACGTATTTTAAAACAAGAGTGACTAACTTTTATTGTGTGATCTTTGACGCCTTAGTCTTGTTGATCACAGTGGAGCATAAGATTGTTTGATCGCTCCATCCTTTTATTTTATTTTGTTCAGGCTAAATATTTAAGTATTGTAGGAGAGAAAAAAAATGTGCATCAATATTGGCTTGTTGGGTAGTTTGTATTGAATGAATTACCATGGACTCGAGCAATATTTATTTTGGATGAGTTAAGTACAAGTTATTAAAGTTGAAAGATATTACCTTAATTTGTGGATTCAGTTAATTATGATTTAAATTTTCTATTGCACGTATGATAATTCTATTGGTAAGTACGTTTTGTGTACTTATTTGAACCACATTACTAACCTTTTATATTGTCAAATGCGTTGATCTCCACTTAACATAGATTAATTTTCTCTTATTTTAGTGTTGGACTCGTTTCATAGTAATTGAAAAAGAAAGAAGGATCAATTGGCTAGTGCATGCAATGTTTGGGATCAAATTCCACATTTAGGAATTAAAGGAGTTGAATTGAAAGAAAAAAAGGACAAGGGCTGCAAAAATATATGGACTTAAGGATTAATTTGCATTAATTTAAAGAATCGGGCCTTGGAACAGAAACTTGAGGATGAAGTCAAACTCCAATTTGCATGATTCTGGAAGTGGAAAGAAATTCTGAGGAGATTGGATTAGGTTTAGTACCGGGACCGATTCGAAATCGGGCGGTGCTGGGCGGATATCTTGTCCAGTTTGAGTATCCGTTTATTTTTTTAATAGTTTTTATAATTCATTTTATTGTTCACATTCATTCAAGTAAGATTATAATTATTAAATTTTTAATAAATTAATTTATTTTTAAAAGTTAAATTATTCGAATATATTTGGTAAACTAAGTTTTTTATTATTTACATATTTCTTAAATAATCTTAGTTATTGTCCACATTCATTCAAGTAAGAATATAATTATTAATTTTTTAATAAATTAATTTATTTTTACAAGTTAAATTATTCGAATATATTTTTGGTAAACAGAGTTTTTATTATTACATATTTCTTAAATAATCTTAGTTGCCATATTCTATTATAATTAATGAAATTTCGCGGAGTTTTTCAATTGAATTCTTCAAAAAAAAAAAAAAAAAAAAAAAATTAAACTAGTGGGGGGAGGGTAGCGCCCCTGTTATTCGTACTTGCCCTGTACCTATCTCAAGGTGAAATTTCTCATCTCGTACCCAACCCGATTACCTGCGGGGGTTTTTTAAATTAAATTTTTAAAAAAAAAAAAAAAAAAAAAAAATTAAACTAGTGGGGGGAGGGTAGCGCCCCTGTTATTCGTACTTGCCCTGTACCTATCTCAAGGTGAAATTTCTCATCTCGTACCCAACCCGATTACCTGATTAAGTAGGAAGGGGAATTTCATCTCGAGATAAGTACAGGGCCTGTATGAGTAACAGGGCATTGCCCTCTCTCTCTCGTTTAATTTTTTTTATGCGAAACATACATTGATTCTTAATTATCAAAAACAGACAATCTACAATCAAGAATAAAAAAAGAATTCAAGAATTCAAAAATGCATAATTAAGAATCAAGGTATGTTCCGCATAATTATTTTTTTTGGTGATTTGATATGGAGATCTTGACAATTATGTGAAGTTTATAAAGTTTAAATTTCATAAATATTCAACAATTTCGTCAATTTCTTGATGATGTCATTTACACTTTATTTATTTAATTCTAAAATTATAAGTGGCTATGTAATTTCATTACTAGGTTTTTGATGATATCTTATATTATGAAACTTTAAATTTTATGTCTTGCTTTTGACATTAAAGCATATTTTTAGTTTGAATAATTATAATGAGATTCTACTTTCTTTACAATTACTTGATTACTAAATGTATGAATCTCGTGACTTATTTTACTTTCGAGGATTGAAAATAAGTTAGACATAGTCATAAATGTCATAAAGTTCGATAGAAATAGAAATATATCACTATGGTTTACTTGATCTTTAAGTATTCATAAATTTTTAATTCATTTTTATATTTTCACATTCGTCATAGAAATATTGTCGGGTCATATGTAAGTATATGTTTAATTCTACTTGAGAGATTGTTAAACAAGTTAGACATATTGGTTTTCATAATTGAATCGTGTTGTAAAATTTATAAGTTTCGGGTTTAAAGGGAATTGATATAAGGAGATTCGGAATCCTAGGATGTTTTTATCATCATAATTTTATAAAACTTGCATTTAATTATATTCTTGCATTGATTTTAATTAATTTAGATCTTGATTCTATACGTAATTTAAGTGATTACAATTTAACTACAGAAAAATCATAAGTTTTCATTGTTTCAATTAGGCGAAATTAATTTGAATTTAAACTAGTACAATCTCTGTATGTATGATACTTGGACTTAAAATCTATCTTTGTGGTAATTAAAACAAATAGTAATTTTTGTGACCTGTTTTTGGCATTGTTGTCAGGGATTTTATTTGAGTTTAATTTCATTTATTTTGACACTAATTTGAAATTTTTGATTTTATTTTATTTTTCTATCAATTTACTTCAATGCTTCCATTTTCTTTATTTCAGGTATTTTATGCGAAATTTGGGAGACAATGAACTAATACTAGCTAATCAGAAAATTGAACGTATTTTTCATTGTAAGTAAAGAGAAGCCCTTGAATGGTGAGATTCATAGCATATTGCTAGTATTACTACTTGAAATGAATTGGCTAATGTACCAAATTCTTCTCATCGGCAATGATTGAGAAGTTGAAGCGTGACATATCTATATTTTGATAGGAGAAAATCGAATCCTTTGTTGAGGCTTGGACCAAATTTAAAAACATGTTTCGAAAGTGCCATCACACGGCATCAGTAAAGGGCTCGAGATCCAATATTTATATCCAAGTCTATTTCCATTTTATAAGAGCATGGTGGACTCTTCATCCAATGACTCTTTATCCATGAAAATAATTGATGAATCCTTGAAATGGTTTGAGTGGCTATTACTATAGCCATCTGCGCCTCTGAGCGGGTTGTTTACAAGAAGGTACGAGAGGTATACAAGGTGGACACTTATACAACGTTATATGTAAAAATGGACTTTTTGGTTCATAAGGTTGAGAGCATGTCATAGTCAGCCAATGCAGTATAGGCCAAACGAGCAAGTTGTAATGAATATGGGATAGATTACAACACAACGCATTAGCCAGCCAATTCTCGCACAAGACACTGAACAAGTTGATTATATAAAAAGGGATCAGAGCTAGCGAATAATCCATATTCTGACATCTATAACCCTGGTTAGAGTTAATAGCCAAATTCTCTTGGAATGATCACAATCCTGATAGGCCACTTGGTTATCAGATTCAGCAAGTAGAGAAGAGATGTTTGGTAAATTCATGAAAAAAAAGGATTACATCTCTTTAGAATTGAAGTGCAATAATTAAAAACTTGAAGTCTTAGATGGGATAGATGGCATATGCTATATCAGGCAGAGCACCGGGTACGTTACCAAGTAATACAGAAGTTAATCCCAAGGAGCATGTCAAAGCAATTACTATCAGAAATGGGGTCCAATTACTTGAGATTTAAGTAAAGAGACTAGTTGCAAATGAAAAAAATGTGCCTTCTACTGATGAAGAGCATGTGGAATAGACTGAATAGACAATAGAAACATTTGCCAAAGAGAGTTCAGATACTCCACAGGTCTTAACGAGCCTCTAATTCCACTTCTTCAGAGTTTGCAAAAGCACAAGTTAGACAAACAATATACAAAATTCCTTGAGGTTTTCAAGAAGTTTCACATCGACATTTCCTTTTTACTAATGTACTTATTCAGATACCTAGTTATGCCAAATTCTTAAAGGATATTGGTGTATGCTGTCGTAGGCACTCCAAATTAAAATCTATATTTCTTAAAATTAATGTACTAGTGGAAGTAAGGGATGATCCCACGAAGAGTGATTAATTTACTTTTTGATGCACTATTAACTAAAATGGGGGGTTTTGGTTTTCTTGAAATAATACAAATCACCAAATTAAATATAAGCAATAAAACAAACTTTGATCTAAGTTAACATCCAACATTGGAAATTAATAATTTGTCATTGATCCACAAATAATCATCAATTCAAAATTGTAGCATTCATTGTGAAAAATAAATTTTCCGTTCGAAACAATTTTTCTATTTCTCCTTAGTTTTAATTAATTAAAAACAAGCGATCTAATTAATCCTCATTATCAAACAATCATAGACAAGAGCAAGAATTTAATTTAATAATGAGTTTGCGAATTAAAGAAATCAATGAACTAGATAACACAAGCCAAGCGTTTGCATTTAACCTAGATAAATCTTCTCTCTAAGATTTAATAATTTCCAACCAGCAAATTATCAATCTTAGTTGTTTCATAAGTTAACCAATCAACAATTACAATTTTGAAATTCAACTTAGCTATAGATTATTGAGATTAATAACCTAGTGTGCACTCTAGAAATCAAACAAAAACAATCATAAAAATAATTGCAGAAGAAGATTTAATACTAAGCATAAGAATTAATCAATAAAAATCAGGTGGATCTCACAGTTTAATTGTTCCAAGGTTTCCATCTCCTTCGATCAAGCAAAAGTAATTAGTTGCACATCATAGATCTTGAGCACAAAGAGGCAAAAATAGGGTTGGGGCGTTCTCTCTGTTTTGGACAAGATTTGGGGGCCTATATATGATTTACAAGATTTGTTTCCATTAGTATTTGATTCAATTTAGGAAACCAAAAATCATGTGTCAAAAATGAACTATGTGAACACATAGTTATTGCAGCCCAATAGTTCTCTAAAGGTCAGAATGCGACCGTATTGGTTTTGAACTATGCGACCGCATAGAACAACCGTTTTCCCGCTGGATAGCATTCAGTATTTTGATTGTAACTTTCTTTTCTGATGTCCAATTGAAGTGATTCAAAGTGTGTTGGAAAGATAATCAAAGGCCTACAAATTCTCTTTAGATTTCATCTTCCAATT